TGATCCTGTAGAGGAAAATATTCTCTGTCCTGTGCTGAAAAATTAGAGGTGCAAACCAGTTTAAAATTACCTGCAGGTATTGCGAGAAAGAGAGTGAGGGGTAAATCATTATTTACAGCCTGTAAAATGGATCCACTGACTTATGCCCATGATTGCAGTCTACAAAATCTTGATGGAAGTGTCCTGACCGATTGCTATGACAAGGCCTCGCTGTAGTCCAGATTCAATAGTTCCTGTCTCGAAGATACGTGTTCTACGGTCAAATGGTTTTTCTCAACACTGTACTAGTGAAGATCACTTTTCCTTGAATCTAAGCATTGGCTCTCCTGGAATTAAAAAGTCAAGATTCTGATTTGCAAAAACAACAGCAGTGAGGATATTGCGCGTTGTTCACATCGTTCTTACCTAAGGTATCCGAATCGAATTTAGTCGAAGAACGAATCATTCAATTCTGTCCACTGAGGAAAGGTGCAACGATGTTAACCCTCTGTGAAGCACCAATCCACCTGTGAGACAAGGCCAGACCACAACACCGGGAACTCTGTGCCCTGCCTTTGCAATACGTGTGCTAACCATGAAAAGATGCAGGAGACAGACACTGGTTTATACTCCTGATCCGAGAAGACTTGAACATCTAACCATTTGCAGATGAAATTACAAAGGTAGCACATTCTCCTCTGTTATATGAGGACAATGAGTGTTGGTCCGGTCTGCGGCTCGAACCCTCGACCTCCAGCCCAGCAGTGTGGCGCTCTACCAACTGAGCTAACCAGGCGTGGGATACCACGTTCTATTGGACACCACGTTTGATAAGACAGCAAGAGCTAAACGTCCTGCAGCGAGTAGCCCGCAAGCAGACTGCCGTGTTTTGGGCCGGGAACGAGAGCGAGACACATGTCACTCGAGCCGGCCCGCGAATTGCGCCGGCGAGTCTAGGTTCTAAGCCCCCCCCTCCCCTACCCCTCCCACGTCGTTCATAAACTCGCTCGCGCACCAAGCGAAAAGCCAGAGCAGCTAGCAGCGCTTGAGTGAGAAACTCAAACACTATAGCCTGCTTGCAGGCTATGCAGCGACCGATGTTAAAATCTGTATAAAAGTCACTATCGCAGCAAAAGTCAAAAATTCAGTTCCTTTTTTTTCAGTTCTACTTGCTTAAACAGGACAAAGTAAGTCTAAAAACACGAAAAGGAACTCGAGACCCCGTAGTATATTTAAATCTAGTTACCAGAGCTCCATTATTTTGTGTGTTTTTACCGACTTTTAGTTACATAGGTCGCACACGTTTTCCCGCAAAGGGAAATCGGCCAGTCTACTGAACTCTACCGTAACATTTTCATTCAGCTATATAAGGCAACGAAATGTTACAAAAAAAAATGATTGGAAAGTAAAA